GGAATTGGTTTAAGAAATCAACATAATTTTACCATTTCCCCCTATAAAAAATGCACTCTCACAGCTCCAGGCTTTGTGTTTATGATCATCCTGACATTCTACCCAGTGGCTGCCAAACTCCATGCACATGGGAATCATGGTTTTTGTCATATACATGTAAAACCTAATTATTGTTTACTTATTCTCATTAAATTGACCTGATTTCTTATTTAAACTAATGCAGTGATAAAACTTTATAACCCTACTGAGTACTTCTACGGCCTGTCAAGGCTCTAAACAGAAGCCTGCTCTTTATTAAAGGGTGAATAGGGTGGGTGAGAGAGCTGTTAAAGGCATGCCAGAACCAAATAGAGACTCTCTTTAATAAAATTAGAAGGACAGAAAAAGAGATGAAAAGGAAATAACTTTATATTATGCCACGTGATGACATACCCACTTTCTTCACATAATGATCTGGTGAGCCCCTATCAAGGCCACCATGTAGCCCTGCTCCAGGAGCCACAGACTACAATGCGAATGCATCCTTTGTAGTTGTGCAGTGCACAGCCTGACCAACCGTGAATGTTCCTCACTTTAAAAAACACTGACAGAGCCTAACAGGCAATGAGCAGCTCAGTCAGTAGTGTTCCAGAAGAGAAAAAAAAAATCTTATTACATGAAGGCAGCATACCTTGGAATCCATTCTGTCTTTGTCATTTGATATCATCTAAAATATAAGAAAGAAATATAAGGGAGCATAAAGAACGTAAGACCAAAGGGTAGATGTCTGGAATTCCAGTTTCCAGGTCTCTGCAAAGCAAATATTCCAGTGTGAGCATGAAGTGAAGAGCCCTTAGTTGTTCACTGGGTTGTGTTAGTTGCTCGGTCCTGTCCAGCTCTTTGTAGCCTCATGGACTGTAGCCCACCTGGTTTTGTCCATGGAATTGTCCAGGCAAGGATACTGGAGTGGGTTGCCATTCCCTTCTCCAGGGGATCTTCCCGACTCAGGGCTCGAACCCAGGTCTCCTGCACTGCAGGCAGATTCTTTACCGTCTGGGCCACCGGAGAAGCCCCAGTTGAGCATGAAGTTCCCTTTAACACTAAAGCCACAGATACCCTATCTTCACAGCAAGGGGCATGCTTTATTTTAAAATAAATGTGCATGCTTCATTTTAAAGCCGCATTCCCCCCGCCCCCCGATATCCTTCCAAACTAAGCTTGCAACTGATTTAAAAAAACTGAATAATAACTTGGCATCTTCCTCCAGCTGAAGCTCCTTCTATGAAGATGCATTTTCATGGGATGCCTTGAGTCTGACCCCACACTGTGATTTCTTGTTTGTTTGTTCCAAGTGTGTTTTTCCAGTTGCCAGTAGGCAGACTAGTTTTCCTCAAGTACCAATAAAAACTCAGTCCCCATGAGCTTTCTTGTGAAATGGTCAGAGGAGCCCAATCTTTGGCAAGCTCACTGCCATAGCCTTTCAATTTGGGATTTCACCACAGAAGGGGCTCATTGTTTTTCATAAACTTGTTTCTGGGTATTTGCTGTTCTTTTCTTTTGGTAACCTTACTTTGAAGGGTTTGCCAAGAGGGCCACTATTAAGCACTCTTATTTAGTGAGTGAGTGATTCTCCATCTCGCTACACATTAGAATCACCTGGGGGAGGTTTTACATCTCTGGCCATTTTACCCCTAAAGTATCTGATTTAACTGGTCAGGGGTGCGGCCTGAAAATCAGGGGTTTGAAAAGCTCCCTAGGTGATGTGAAATGCATCTGCGATAGAGGCGAGTGCTCTTGACTTTGTTGTGCATATGATAAATCATGGGGGGAATCCGGCTAAAATGTGGTGCTGATTCAGTGGGTCTGGGATAGGGCCTGGGCTTTGCATTTCCAACAAGCTTCCAGATGATACTCATACCGCTGGTGAGGACCACACTTTTCAAGGCACCAGATCACATGAATCTCCTTCCAAGCACCTTCTATTCAAACCAGGACTAAGGAGCTCTTCCTGTCCTGTACCTGCACAGATTCAAGTAACACAATTTACAGCTAGAAAGGGCATCTTTGTGTATGCACTGTTGTTTTGTTTCTGAATATCTGATAGTGAGGCTTCTGAATCATACAAAAAAGATTATCCAGGAAAGCAAAACCCCGGAATCAGAATTCAGAGTGACGAATTTAGGTTCACAAGAATTAGGCTGCAATTGCTGATGTGAGGAGCTACTAAGAACCCCAGAGTTGGTATGAAGATTACTTTAAGCCAAGGATATTTGGGATTTGACAAACGCAAAAAGAAATCTTTTGGGAACTTCCCATATCAGACTACAAATAGAATGAGACCATAAATCTCCTTTTCTGGGAGCTTTTAAGTCCCAGGAAGGAGGCCAAGAGCAAAGCTACCCGAAATCACCTTTTCCAGGGGAGGTTTTATGGCCTTGAAAAGGACAAAGACCATTCACGCCGGCATGAACAAACATTATCACAAATTTTATCTCCTGTTTTTCCTTTAGAAGCCCATTTGTTCTTCCCAGAGGTTTCCCCCACCTTCTTTTCCTCTGCGAAGAAAGGAGAAGTAGAGGGAAAGTTTGGCCTCCTAGACACTAAGCCTCTGGGGTCTGATATTAAGTAATTCTTCCCTTATATCTATTTCTTTCTCTGCCCCTCATCCAGCCCCCAACCCCCATTCTTTTTCCCACTCACCTAAAAGAAAAAAAAAAATGTTACCCAAACAAGCCTTCTGTATTACATTTCATAAGTGGTTTTCTGTTCTCTTAATAAAGTTTGTGAGATGGAGACACATATTTCTTTATAAGCATTTATCCATTACAGAAATTAACCTGGAATTCCAATTGTGGAATAAACTATGTTGATGAGATTCATATAGCAAATGGTAAACACCAAGTAAGAACTTTCTGCCCAAGTACAAACAGAAAATTTCTGCAAATGGATATTATGTTATATAGGTCAGGCCACCATAATACCTGGGTTATAGACTCTGATTTGAACATTGAAATGTTCCCTATACACGTTACTACATCAATCAGAAGAATGAAACTGTCACATATAAAGCATGATTTTTAAAAAAATAAATGAACTTGGGACTTCCCTGGTGGCCCAGTGGCTAAGACTGCGTTCCCAATGCAGGGGGCCCGGGTTTGATCCCTGGTCAGGGAACTAGATCCCACACACCACAGCTAAGGATGCCGTGTACCGCCAAATAAATAAACATGAAAAAAAAACAACTCAAACTTTGGCCTTTACAACTGGATCTCACAGACCATCGAGCAAATAATTTGCTAATTAAGGCAAGAACAAATACGAACTCCCATTAGACCAAAGGAGCGTCTAGAGGCTTTTGAAACTGATTTCTTGGCAGCCGACGGAGACCACACACACTGATGGCCTCAAGCGGTGAGAACCTGTAACAGCCTAGGAACCTGCCTGTTTCAAAGCTAGGCCTTGTCTCCACCCACCCTGGCATTTGGAAGAAACTATCTGAGAAGTCTGTCCTCCACAGCCCTGACAAGGTCTTGTCCCATCTCATATCTTCACTACTTTTCTTCTTGCAGCACCAGGCCTGCTTTCCTTTGTTCAAGCCAGCCCACGAGCAAAAGCCAGCGGCCGTGTCATCCTGGCAATACTCGTAGAAGGGAATTCTTTTTAAGTACTCCTGGCACACACCCTCTCCATGGTATTGGAACCCATGTGTGAGGAACAAAGAGGACTGTTTAGTCTGTCTATTCTGACAACGGGGCAATTCTGGCTTCTTTTTGAAGCCTCACAATGCTTAGCAGGCAAATCCTGGTAAGAATTCATGATGACAAGAGCTTCCTGGAAGCTGATAAATAACTGTATTTGGGGGTGGAATATGTATAAGCAATCAAACACACAATGTTTCCATGATGAACTGTTACAAATCAGAAGCTAGGGTCGGGGAGGACCAGAAAGCCTTGACTGGACATTCACACATCACAGCAAGTTGTGTTTAATATAATAAAAGCAACCACTTTGTTAGGGTTTAGTTTTGCAGCTAAACTTCTGTCCAGTTTGCTCCATGTCGATGGCTCGCTCTGCCAAGTGTTTTAAATCCATCATCTTGCAAGGAATTCTCTAAGTTAGGTCTTGATTTCAGATGTGGGGAGACTGAGGAACAAGGTTAAGAAAACTGCTGGGCAGAGGCAGTGATGGTATCAGACCCCAGGCCTCCCACCCCTGCCTCGCCCCTTCCTGTCTTGGGCATCAACAAAAGTCAGCCATCACTTTGGAGACTCATCAGTAGGTCTGGAGGTGTCTCAGAGATCTCGCCCACTTCATACCTTAGGGGTGAAAAAGCAGAGATTTGGAGAGCCTTACTCAAGCAGCCCGACCATCTGGTAGAGTGAGGAGGGGGACCCATGGGCTCCCCACCACTCAGAGCCATGTGGACACTGAATTTGCATCCAATTAATTTTGCAGCCGACCACTGCATCCCTTCATTTTAGTGCTATGCTTTCAAATGACCAGTATTATTATCTGCAGAAGTGGTAAAAATCCACTGAGCTTTCTTAGCTTACGTGCACCCCTAAAGCCTGGAAGGCTACAGGGTTGTCTGTATACATACATGGTTGGGAGAGGAATCTGTACAGTTCTAGGTAATCTTTTAATATTAGAACGTGGATGGTGGGGCTGCAAGACAGCTGAATCACAAAGGCAGAAGCAAGGAAGTGATTTGATCAGATCATCCGACAGTCACGTTGAAGATATCCATTTAGGCATCTCATTATTTCCCTTAAATGCAGAAGAGTCAATAATGCTATACTCCTTCCCTTCAACTTATTTACTTCTGGCCCCGAGCAAGAATACAGTGGTACGTTTTGAGTCTTGGAAGTGCTAACTACTCTGTGTTCACACGCTCCTTCACTTCCTTAATCCCCCAACTACGTCACCAGCGATGGTCTGTTATTAATTCCCATTTTACAGATGAGAAGACTGAGGCTTAAAGAAAGAAAGCATCCCACCCAAGACAAGCCTTTGGACTTTACCTGAATCCAGGTGGTCCAAGTGCCAGGGGTCGGTGGCGGACGACATGGGTGACAGGGTGAGCGGGGAGGCCCCGCAGTTGGATTCCACCAGCTCGCCCTGGATGTGCACGTGAGCTGAGGCGTTGGTCTGCCTCAAGGCCGCCTTGAGAGGGGCGATTTGGTTGAACTGGACTCTGGAGAGGCACCCGGTGAACCCCGGGGTGTTGTACTTGTGGATCTCTTGGTCGATCTTTCCTGTTTCTAAAAGAGAAAGAAAGAGGAAGTAAAAACCATGTCCCGCCCACCAGATCACAGCTGTAGTATACTCTCATCTTTAAATGCGTGTGTCCAGATCTTACTCTTGGCTTTCAGTTTAAGATATTATGTTCTTTCTGATGAAACATTAATGACTTGATAAGGCTTTAGGGCTGGAGACTTCACTTTAAATGGACCTTCTCTGTCACTGGAGAATGTTGTAAGAAGGGTTAAGACTATATCTGCTAAAATAAAATACATCCCTAATTACCTTCCAGGTACTTTAGATGTTGCTGGGACTTACAACACTCACTTGACTCTGACTGACTTTTCACCTCTTTTCTGATGCCTCAGTGATTCATATATATGGAACAGCCTTCCCAGACCTCCTGGTAGATTAGTTTCCTTTTGCACCTCTTATTTTCTTTTTTTGAATTTTTTTTTTTTTTTAAAGAAAGAAAAAATGATTCCTACAGCCTATAATCCTGGAGAAGGGAATGGTAACCCACTACAGTATTCCTGCCTAGAGAATCCCCTGGACAGAGCTTGGCGAGCTACAGTCCCTGGGGTTGCAAAGAGTCGGTCGGACACAACTAAGTGACAACACACACACAGCCTATAATCAGGCATTTTCTTTCTTTAGAATCCAGTCCTCTGGGAATTCTGAGGCTTCCAGAATCCCAGCTAGTGCGGGAAGGGCGTTTTGAGAGTCAGGAAAGTTTCCTAACTCAATCACAAACATACAAATGCATTTAAAAACCATCACCTCCCCCAAACCTGTCAGTTAAGCTTCTTCTCCTAAACTAGCATTCAGATGAGGGGTGAGTCTGGGTGGGGGCATTTCCAAAGTACTGTTTGAATTAATATAAACACACATGGGACTTCTCTAGTGGTCCAGTGGCTAAGACTCTGCACTCCCAATGCAGGGGGCTCGGGTTCAACCCCTGGTCAGGGAACTAGATCCCACATGCCATAGCTAAAACCTGGCGTAGCCAAATAAATAAATAAAAAGAAATCACACGGGCTTCCCTGGTGGCTCAGATGGTAAAGAATATGCCTGCAATGCAGGAGACGCAGGTTTGATACCTGGGTCAGAGAGATCCCCTGCAGAAGGGAATAGCAGCCCACTCCAGTACTCTTGCCTGGAGAATTCCACGGACAGAGGAGCCTGGCTGGCTACAGTCCATGGGGTCGCAAAGAGTCGGACATGACTGAGCGACTAAGTACCCACACACACACATCTTCATACCAGTTAAGCAAAAGCAAGTGTCTTCTTGACCATGGCCCCGGATTCTAGAACCTACCAAGCAGAATGAGCGCTGGATTCCTAGACACTCTTATTCCTCCTATTCCGTGGTTCTTATCAGTGTGGTTCCTGGACCAGCACCATTAGCATCACCTGGGAAGGTGTTAAAAGCTGGGACGGTGTTAGCATCACCTGGGAAGGGTGGGGCCCAGCCCTTTGCACATCAGCATGCTTTCCAGGTGATCCTGATATTGTTAAGGTCTGAGAACCACAGCTAAACTATGGGCAATGATGGTGCAGGGCTGCGAACCCAGGGGGTGGGCAACCAGCTCTCCAGAGAAGAGCACAGAGCTTGTATTCCGGGTGGGAGACTATGCTAACATGATGATGACCTTTTAAATACAAGGACGAGCTATTCACCCTTCCACTTGAACTGTGGAAAATAAAGACTTTGGAAAACAGGAGCTAGATACTTCTTTAAAAAGCTGGATTCAGAGCAGGTGATGTTTCTAATGGGGGAATGAATATAGGTGAAATAGTCTTATATAAAAATTTACTCCCCCATTGATTAAAGAATAAATCAGTGGCGAAGGGAGCTTTCAGACCTTGAGGGCACAAGAAATGAATGTATTGATTATTTGTCACATTAAAAAATCAGTGTATTGACTGACTTGCACTATCCCATGTAAATTTTGATTAGTAGAAGAGATGACAACTGGGGCGACGATGATGAAGACAGTAATCCTGGGGATGCTAATAGGGTCTCACTTAGACAAGTACATAAAGAAATTTTAGTTAATGATTCTCCATATTTTCCTCCTGCTGCAAATTTCAGTCTGTGACTCAGAGCTAAAGCACATTCCATTGAAGATGGAGAGGCAGGGTGCACCCGCCCTGTGTACAAAAGTCCTGCCATCAGGACATGTCCTGAGGGTTCCTCTGATGACCAGGAAGAGGCTCTGGTCCCACCGACACCTGTGTTGGCTTGTTCCTCTCTTCCTCCCTTGCTTTTTCCTCAAGGCTTGCAGGCTACACTGCGATCCATTCTTCGGCTACTTGTCTATCGTCAGAATTTCTGGTATTTGGTTTCCGCCCCCTCCCTCCGCATTGGCTCAGACGGTAAAGAATCTGCCTGCGATGCAGGGGACCTGGGTTTGACTCCTGGGTTGGGAAGATGCCCTGGAGAAGGGCATGGCAACCCACTCCAGTATTCTTGCCTGGAGAATCCCATTGGCAGAGGGGCTGGTGGGCTACAGTCCACGGGGTAGCACAGAGTTGGACACGACAGAGCAACTTAGCATGCATGCATGCACGCACGCACCCTGGGCAGCCCACAACCTGGCTGGGGAAGAAGGATAACAACCCACTAACTCGACTTGTGAACACAAGCTGTCCAATAACAAGTCAGTTATTTGTTGAACCCTTAAAATGTGCTCAATGTCCCATGCAAATTGGACATTTAATTCCTAGAAATACCCTTGAAGGAGGGAGCATTGCTGTCTCTGTGTAATGTGTGAGGCAATGAGGCTTAAGATCCATCCCCTGCTGAGGCCAGGCAGACCCCAGGGCTTCAGCCTCTACAATGTTCTGAGCAAACCTTGTGCGTGGTAAAATGATTAAAGTCTATCCCCTGGAGGAGGATATGGTAACCATTCCAATCTTGCCTGGGAAATCCCATGGACAGAGGAGCCCGGTGGGCTGCAGTCCATGGGGTTACAGAGAGTTGGACACGTCTGGGCGACTGAGCACACACCTGGTAAATCAGGGAGGCAGGTTTGCATGGGGTCTGGAAAGCACTTCAGGAGGAGTAACACTGCAACTAGGGTTTTTTTGGGTTTTGTTTTTGGTGATAAGAACACTTAACATAAAATTTACCCTCTTAACAAATGTTTATGTATACAATACAGTCTTGTTAAACTTACAGGCACTCTAGGTCTTCTTCTTACATAAGTGAAACACTTCTTACAAAGTGTTGGCACCTTTGACCAACATCGCCTGATCCAACCCCTCACCCCAGCCCCTGGAAACCATGATTTCACTCTTGGCTTCTACGACTTTGACTATTTCAGGTGCCCTAATGTAAGTGGGATCAAGCAGGATTTATTCTTCTGTGTCGAGTTTATTTCACGTAGCATAATGTCCTCTAAGTTCATCCACGTGGTAGCAAATGGCAGGATTTCCTTCTTTTTTAAGGCTGAATAATACTTCACCATATGTGTATATTTTATTTTCTTTATCTGGTCCTCTGTCAATGGATATTTAGGTTGTTCCCAGGCCTTGGCTATTGTGAATAGTGCTGCTAGGAACATGGGAGTGCAGATATCTGTTCAAGGTCTTGATTTCAATTCTTTGAACATACCCTAAAGCAGAATTGCTGGATCCCATGGTAGTTCTATGCTTAACTTTTTGAGAAACCACTGCACTATTTTTCATAGTGACTAAACAATTCCCCATTCCCACCAACTTCTCCTGATCCTCACCAATGCTTGTTATCTTTTGTAGAACTAGGTTTTGGGAATGAAAGGAAAGAGAACTGCAGGTTGAGTCTGCTGTGAGGTTTTGGTTCTGGGACCTAGAGGCCTCAAATGAGGTCAGAACTCAAGGTCAGATTGGGAAAGACCTTGAACATTGCATTAAGATGTTTGTATTTCAGTAAGAAACTCAATGATATTTTAGCTGCAGGGGATTGTGGTGGGAACTACATTAGGTATTAGATTAGAAAGATAATTCTAGAGGAGCACAAACATTGCTCTGAGTAGGTCTGCCAACACCCTGGGCAAAGACAGGGGTTCTTCTCTTTGCAGTTGGGTCAAGGCAGAGCTACACTGTGGATAAAGTGCCCCACTCTTCACCAGCATCCTCTTGTCTTTGCCCAGCCACTGAAGAATCTATAAAGACTCCATTTTGGATTTGTTTCCTCTGCTAGAGAGGTGGGTAAGAAACTTCTGATCCTGGTTACCTTTCATATGGTCCTTGACACAGTTTCCGAAACTTTAAGATGGATAGGCTTGGGACTTCCCTGGTGGTCCAGTGCCTAAGACTCCTCCCTCCCAAGGCAGGGAGCCTGGGATTGACCCCTGGTCAGGGAAGATACCCACATGCCAAAATTACAAGAGCTGTTCAGTCAAATAAATAAATGAATATTTTTAGAAAGGGCAAGCTTCTGATCACACCCCAGAAAATGAGTAGTCTCACAGCTGTATATACCTGATGGTTCCCAATTTACTGTGGGGTCCCCACTTCTTAAAGAGCTGCCCCCACCCCCCGTTTCCTTCTGACCTCAAGAGGGGTAAGTGACACAAGGCAGATGGCCAGAGGGGATCCCAAGGCAGGGGGTTCTGACGAGGACCAGGAACCAGGGGCACAGAGGGAGGCAGGGGCTCTAGGGGCCAGGCTCTGCTTTAGCTTTTCCCCGTCTGTGCTTTCTCTCTTTTGGGGAAAATCCCCAGGGTTTCAACTGTTGTTCTTTTCCTAAAAGGCGGCTGGGTCACAAAGACAAGGGCTCTGATGCCCAGGAAAGCAGAACCAATACTTTCAAACCCGGACAGTGTCTGGATGTGCTTCTAAAGACCCTTGGCTGAGACCCGTTCCCCCTGGGGCCCACGAATGCAACGGACGCTCTTGTCTCTTCAGGGCCAGATGGTTCCAACTCTGGACCATGTGATAATGACATTAAGAGCTTCCACTATAAACCAAAATTGTTTGGTACTGGGTTGAGTACTGTGTTCAGTATTTTACAAAAGTACTTTTGAGGTACTGT